TGACATCTCAAATTTACTTAAAGGTGATCACCAGCCATTATTTTAACAACTGCCATCTGAAAGAGGTTAGATGGCTTCTGTCTGAAATGCTAATAACTGCCTGGAGTCTCGTCTGCTTTTGTCTTCCTTCCTCTCCATTTCAGTAAGTCAGGGGAAGGAATAACTGGGAATTTTAACAGAAAAGTCTGCTCTGTAAGTACAATCTCTGCCATCCATCTTGCACTCTTACATCAAGCATGGGGTTACTGCTGGAAACGGGTAGCCTATTGCTTCCTAAAGTTTTTGTATTTCTACTACACCGCTACTAACAGTATTGTTATTGGTAGTACTAGTAATAATATTGCAACATGTTGTAGGGCATCCATGGAGCTTAGTGTTCTCTAAAGACTCAATGAGAAATAGCCATTCCCATGATCTTATGGTCTTCATAGGCTGGACTTACTGCCCTTACAAAGGGCAGTAAATATTTCCCACATCCACTCACTGTGAATCCAGCCTCCTAAGAAACACATACACTTATAATATAAAAAGCATAATTACACTCTAATTACACTGTAGTTACATTTTTAACCTAAGATTTCCACTAATCTATATAACAAGGCACTTCATGGACTGGCCAAAAATAATTACGGTGTAAAATGACATAATGAATATACCTGCATTTAAAAATATACAGTCATATCCTCATCTGAGTTAAATCATTATCTCTCTGATGATATCAGTCTGGTTCCTGTGCATTAAAAAGCAAATCATGGGAGCAATAATATCTCAATTATGTAGTTAACCTTCTGGTTATATTAATTAGTCATGATTAGGCATGGGAAACCATAATTATGTCACGTACATAACATCCCTTTGAAATTGCATTGTGAATCCAAACACAAAAGGCAGATGTGAACATCTAACCAGGTCCATTTCTGACATCTAGAATAAATCTGAAACTCAATGATTTGACCCTCTATCTCCTATCTGAAACACATCCAGTGGTGATAGCTCTGCTGGTGTCAAACTTGCAGAAGAAACTGCAGTTTGTGTTTGTCCCAGAAGAGAAATGCAAGGTAGAACTGTCCCATATTCTGATTTCACACGTTGGTTACTAAACCTGACTTAAAAAAACCAAACCAAAACAAAACCAAAAACAAAGCCACAAACAAAACATCTAGGTCTAGTTTAGTTCCTAAAGGAGGAAGCCATGAAACTAAAAAAGCACCTTTTCTTGAACTCACCACATTTAGCCATTTGTCTGGGGTATGAACAGCTAAAAATTAGCACCTCTTTCTCCTGTTTGCAGGAGATCCTGGCAGCCAGAGTGCTATTTGCACAGGACCTTTCTGAAGAGTTGCTCCTCACTGACTCCAAAAATACCATGGTAGACACTGTACTGGGGAAACTGGTTTTCCTGAGGCAGCTGTCAGAGAAGACTGTGGTGTTGGGAAGAGGGAATAAGAGCAAGCAGGATTTTCCACCACTGTCCTCATGCTTAACTCAAGACCGAAGTTTCTCACCTTCAAGGCTAAAGAAGAGAAAAGCCAATCTAAGTTAACACTCTTCCCCCAGTATATCAGAGATATGCTTTATCCCAGCAGACTGTTCCCTCACAGAAGGGCTACAGTAAACTATTAATGCGTAGGTCATTCCATCCAAATGTAGAAAAATATTAAACATTTCACTTTTATATAGATTTCTATCACCTACTGAACCCCACAGAAGCTCTACATTGGAATAGGAATTACGGACCTAAACATTTGTGTAACTCCAGGGTTATTCATGTCATTCAGATGGCAACATCCTGCCATCTCTGCAGGATAAAGGACAAGCACAGAAGCACATCACAGAATTTCCATTAAAATTAATCCTTTGAAAGGAGAATGTCAGAAGAAACTGCATAATTTTGACCAAAGAAATATACTTCAAATGGACACTTTGCAAATGTCAGGTTGAAATGTTCCAAAGTTAGGAGGCAGAATTAAGGTTGCCTGTGTATTCTGTGTAGCATTGCACTTGCAGGCACTTTGTGGCTGTTATTGCTTGGTTTTTATATTTTTTTTTTTTTTTTTTTTTTTTTTTTTTTTTTTTTTTTTTTTTTTTTTTTTTTTTTTTTTTTAAATCTAAGTAACTTTACTTTGGAAGGCTGACTTGCAAATCTGGCATTTCTAATTCTGGGAAACCCCACTTTGCACACTTTTTTATTTCTATTCACTCAGTTACTGATTGATGCATTGTTTGCTTTTGCTGGGCTAGCAGCAAGGGACACTGATACAACATGGGCCACAGTTATGTATTGCCCCATAGAATTAACAGCCTTGGGGTCTCCAGTGGATCTACTCTAAGGTGTTAGGTCACTTGACGATCGACCAGGTT